AATCTGTTAAATGGCATGCGCGACTTAATCATATTGGTCAAGATAGAATGTCCAGGCTAGCTAAAGAGGGACATATTGGTCAAGATAGAATGTCCAGGCTAGCTAAAGAGGGACATTTGGGACAACTGATTAAGGTTAAATTGCCTAAATGCGAACCTTGTCTAGCCGGAAAAGCTACTAAAAAGCCTTTTGGTAAGGCATCAAGAGCATCAAATCCTTTAGAGCTGATTCATTCTGATATTTGTGGGCCTTTAAATATAAAAGCTCATCATGGGGCTACATATTTTATTTCCTTTATAGATGACTATTCACGTTTTGGGTATGTGTACCTATTATCTCATCGACACGAAGCACTTGATACATTCAAATGTTTCGTGGCCGAAGTTGATAACCAAAAGGAACGAAGAATTAAGACTCATCGTACTGACCGGGGACGTGAATATCTCTCTGATATGTTCAAAGAGTTTTGTGAGACTAAAGGTATTTCAAGGCAACTTACGGTTCCATATACTCCACAACAAAATGGTGCTGCTGAAAGAACAAATCGTACATTACTAGACATGGTTGGGTCGATGATGGCGCAAGCCAATCTCCCTATTAAATTTTGGGGAGATGCGTTGCTTACGGCAACATACATCCTTAATCGTGTACCAAGTAAAAGTGTGTCACTCACTCCATATGAGTTGTGGAATGGGAAACCACCCATTTTGGACCATTTACGCCCTTGGGGTTCAGCTAGCTATGTGCATAACCAAACTCACAAGAGCATAACCAAACTCACAAGTATGGAAAGCTTGGTCCAAGAGCTACCAAAATGGTGTTCATTAGATACCCTGAACATTCAAAAGGGTATGTTATGTTTGGTGAACATCCAGATGGTGGAATGACTGAGCTAGACTCACGCAATATCGATTTTCTTGAAGATGAGTTCCCAAGTATTGGTGAAATTAACAAAGACCTTTAGTTGTATGAGTTACAACAAGAAATGAAATTATCCTTAGGAGATGAGGGGGATATGTTACCTCTAGTGGTCTCCAAAGATAATGAAGTTCTTCTAAATTCCATTGGTGAAATACAAGTATCTTTAGGAGATAAGGGAGATATGTTACCTCAACAAGTCTCCAAAGATAATGAAGTTCTTCTAAATTCCACTAGTGAAAAACAAACTCAAAATGAGGATGAGCCTCATAGAGTAGAGCAAGAGATAAGTCACAAGCTCATAGTCCCATGCCTCTCGAGGACAATGGGAGAAATTTTTCAGCTAGTTTGGAAAATAATGAAGGTCCTACTTTGAGTAGGAGTGATCGTGGAAGAATTCCTTGTCGATTTTTTCAAATTGAGGAGGATGTATTTCTTTGTACTCCTTTAGAAGTAGATGAACCGAACTCTTATAAAGTGACAATGAATTCACCATATAATTCAGAATGGAAAGATGCAACGAATGATGAGATGGACTCAATGATTAAAAATAATGTCTGGGAACTTGTTGACCTTCTACCTCATCGTCGATCAATTGGATGTAAGTGGATATTCAAAATCAAGCGTGGGGTGGATGGATCAATAGAAAAGTTCAAAGCTCGTTTAGTAGCGAAAGGTTTTACCCAAATTGAAGGTATAGAGTACGATGAGACATTTTCTCCTATGGTGAGATTTGCCTCTATTCGTCTTCCTTTGATCCTGGTTGCCCATTTAGATTTAAAATTATTTCAAATGGACGTAAGAACATCATTCCTCAATGGTACTCTTGAGGAAGAGATATATATGGATCAACCTTTTTTCACCTCAAAAGATCCATATATGGTCTCAAGCAGTCTTCCAGACGATGGTATCTCAAATTCCATGAAGCCATTTGTGCATTTGGTTTGTCCATGGTTGATGAGGATCATTGTGTGTATGTCAAGAAAAGTGAAGAAGGAATTTTGTTTCTTTCTTTATACATTAATGACATATTGTTGGCTGGAAACGACATGGGAATGATCAACGACACTAAGCAGTGGTTGTTCTTTAACTTTGAAATGAAGGACATGGGTGAAGCTAGGTATGTCCTAGGAGTGGAAATAATGAGAAATCGTCCTAAGAAAATTATTGTCTTGTCTCAAGAAACATATATTAAAAGAATCTTAGAACGTTTTCAAATGCATTATTCTAAACTCGTTGATACCCCAGTTGAAAAGGGTTTAACTTTAAGTCTTGACCAATGTCCGAAAACAGATGAAGAAAAACATAAAATGTGCAATGTTCCATATGCCAGTGCAGTAGAAAGCTTGATGTATGCTATGTTATGTACACGACCAGACATTTGCTACGCGGTTGGCTTGGTAAGTCGTTACCAAAGCAACCCTGGTCCTGCATATTGGCAAGCTGTCAAGAGAATCTTGCGGTACCTGCGTGGTACAAGTGACTTGGTACTATGCTATCAAGGTGGGTCCTTGAAATTAAAAGGATACTCAGATGCTGATTGGGGTGGTGATCTGGATGAGTCAAAGTCAACTTCAGGATATGCCTTTATATTTGGTTGAGGTGCAAGATCCTAGTGCAGTACAAAACAATATTGCATAGCCCTTCCGACTATGGAAGCTGAGTATGTTTCCAGTTGCATTGCCGTTCAAGAGGCAATATGGTTGAGAAATTTTCTACAGGATCTCAACCTCACCCCAAAGGTTGATGAACCTATAGAAATGCATTGTGATAATACTGTTGCTATCCAGCATGCCCAGGATCTGAAGTTTCACAGAAAAACCAAGCATATCAAAAGGCGTTATCATTTTGTACGAAACGCAATAAAAAATAAAGAAGTTGTCATTAAGTATATACCCACAAATAAAATGATAGCTGATCCTTTAACTAAACCTATACGCAGAGATGCTTTCCAAACTCATGTGAAGAGTCTTAGTATACATAGGTTTTAATTTTATTTTTGTGGGATAATGGATGTGTATAATGTTACACCGAACATATATGAAATATGTTGCTCTTTGATATGTTCTTTAGCATATGTTGCATAGTTAGGCATGAGTAAAGATGTCACCAGGCTTTTGATTATACTTATCACACAGGTAATCGTCCTATCACATTAGTTGTGCGTAATAGGATGAGACTATGTCATGTTCATATTAAGTGTATGTAATATGAATTGTATTTATATATTTTTTGTATAAATATATTTTTACAGTCGCCTTAGTAAGTCTAAGATGAGACTCTATCGAGTCGAATATGAAATAGTAATGATTTCATATCGAAGCCTTGAAGCCGAATCTCGAGTGAAAGATAAATTATTAAGTATATTTATCAAGTGGCTCGGGTTAGATACTTGAGTAGTATCTAGACTAAAGATTCGTATAACATAGTAGAGTGACATGCCCATCATAGTGGAAGCTATGTTATGACACGTATATCATACTTTGTGTGCTTTGAACGACCATTAAGGATGACAAATGATTCCCTACTTTGTCAAGGTGTGAATCCTATGGATTTTGTTGTCCAACTTTGTACGAAGACTTTTGACTTAGAACTATGTTATGAAATTGAGACTTAGTGTTGCTACTTTAATATGTACTCAAAGAGCTATGATCGATACAGTTCAACGGAGCATGTTAGGAAAGCAACTAAGTTGAGATGAAGTTTCATTAGTGTCTAAGAAATAACTGATTCAACTTCACCACATTAGCCCAAATGGTTATATTGGAATATAACCATTCGTATGAGACAAGAGGTTTGCTAATAAAGATTTTTATGTTATAGTCTCGGCTTAAGTGGCTGAGTGGGTGTATTGTTTTAATTGATGTTATGTTGCATCAATTAGTAACATCCACTTAATGGTAGTGGTGTTACAATCTCATCTCCATTAAGTATGGAGTTATGAGAAGTGTGTTAAAGTCTTCATTTAATTGAGTTAGATGAAGACAAGTATAAAGTGATGCTTTGTGCATCATGAAAAGAAGACAATACGAGACAAAGAAATAAACTAGGAAAATATACAATTATCTTTATATAGTGCTTTTCTCTTGTTGAGCCGAAACCATCACAAGGCAGCTCGGGTTTTAGAGCGTGGAGGATACCGACGACTCTAGCAGCCGTCGGATAAAAGATACGGGCAAGTTTTCGCTTCTGCTACATAAAGGTTAGTCCTATATATATTTATATATGTGTTATATAAAACCACTAACACCAAGGTCCATAAGAATTCCAACGTAGACACAACACCTTCAATTTCTTTTCCTTGCATGGTTAGGCAATTTCAAGAAAGAAACAAACATATGTCCTGCTTTTGACAGGATGCACAAGAGTTCCCCTACTATCAAATCTTCTTTCGCGACAAAGCTTCTAGAATTTAAACTTTATAGCCAGACTCTTAAATTATTTTTCCAATCAAACTCAAACTCCTCCTATTTCCTTAAGTCCACAATCTGTCTAGCTCTTCTCTGCAACTATAAAAGAGGCTCCAACTAGTATTATTTTCTCACATTAGAAGATTAAAGAGAAGGTTAGTCTTAGGCTTTAACTAAGTTTCTTTTCTCTTCTGCAAACGTCCATATGTCTTACTTCAAGAATTTTGAGTTTGTTCGTGAAAGTAGCCCTGTTCTTTGTCCTTTTTCTCTCTTTTTTTTTTTGCACAATTCATGTTGCTCTAAGTTGGTGATCAAGAATTGCTTTTAATTTATTTTTATGGTGAACTCTTAGGCATTGAACATTCAAATTTGATACTAATAAAACCATGCCGTCCATATGTTTGATCATTTGTCCATAGTTTGCATCAATATTTTTTTGTTCCCCTGCCACATTACATATGCATACTGCAGCACATCATTCGGACCACGGTGAGATATTGGAATAACTCAACTGTTGTTCAGGTGGCTGGGGTCTGTTTGGCATACTCGGGCTGCAGTCCGGACTTCACGAAGGCTGTTCAAGATGAAACGGAATTGTCCGATTGATATTCGGCTGATGATAATTAGTTTGGGAGCTGTCCGGGACCGCAAGCTGCTGCTCCGGTGGCTCGGCTACTTCCCGGGGCTGCTCGGTTGATCCTCGGGGCTGTAAGCTACTGTTTGGGCAGCTTGACTACTCCTCGGGGCTACTCGACTAACCCTCGGGACTGCAAGCTGCTGCTCGGGTGGCTCGGCTACTTCTCTGGGCTGCTCAGCTGATCCTCGGACTGCTGTTTGGACAGCTCGACTACTTCTCGGGAATGCTCGGCTGACCCTCGGAACTGCAAGCTGCTGCTCGGGCAGCTCGGCTACTTCTCCGGGCTGCTCAGTTGATCCTCGGGACTACAAGCTGCTGCTCGGGCGGCTCGACTACTTCTCGGGGCTGCTTGGCTGATCCTCGGGACTACAAGCTGCTACTCGGGCGGCCCGGCTACTTTCCGATGCTGCTCGGTTGATCCTTTGGACTGCAAGCTGCTGCTCGGGTGTCTCGGCTACTTCCCAGGGCTATCCGACTATTGTTTGGCTGCGTGGCTAGCCAATGATTTCGCAAAAGCTCCCTCAAGGACTTTGAGGACGTCCGGATGCTGTACCGCCACTGCGAAGGTGGGAATCAGCGAAACCGTGGCTTGAGGCCCCGCTTGACGCCGACGTGATATTTTTTCGCCTTCGCTGCGATGGGATTGATCCCCAGATTGGTGAGTGGACTCGTTGTGTCCGGATGAAGTCTTTTTTTGTAAGTTTCAAAGAAGGAGAGATGAGAAAAAGATAAAATCGAGGGTGGTGTTCCACAAAGTCGAAAAATTGTCACCAAGCAAATTATGGGGCCCTTCCTCTAGTGTCAAACTGTTGATGGTTGGATCCGATCAAGGTTAAATATAGATTTAATGATGATAATAATGAGGATTAAAGAAGACTACGGGAGAATTAGGCTTTTTTTATTAATTATGAGGTCGACCTCCGATATTGAGGTCGACAATTTTGTTACACTTTGAGTAATTACAGAAAATTATTACAGAGAGATAGAGGAGTAAATGTAGAGAGAAATAGTTGGTACAAGGTTTAACAACCCATAATAAATGAAAGGCTTAATGGCGGGAAAATACACGACCTTTACGTGTTTGGCCATTTAATAACCACCTTTAGACCTTGGCAAATAAATACACGACCTTTACATTTTTGCCAACCCGATACATGGTTTGGTCTACCGTTAACGGAAATCCTACGTGGCTTTTAAAACTGATGGACACACCAAACGGACGTCCGAATCAGCGCCCAGGTGGCAGGGTCGGGTACTATAAAAGCCGAATCTGCCCCAATTTTTGCCCAAAATCTTCATTCCCAAAACCTAACCCTAATTTCACTTCAATTCGCCCAAAATCGCCCCAAATTTGCACTGAAATGTCGGTAAGCTCAAGCTCAAATTCAAGGAGATTCAATTTAGTATGTGCATGGGGAGACGAACCAGGTATATTCACGTCAAATACCGACCTCAATCCTCTTCGTCGATTTCGACGTTGCATCAACCCAGAGGTGAGTTCGATTTCCTAACGCAATATGATTTTTTGATTATGTTTTGTGCTGATATGAGTGCAATTGTGCCAATATGACTGCAATTTGGCGTAGTTTTTGTAATTTTATGCGTGGCCGATCTGAGATGAACTGGCATGTTCAATTTGAAGTGTGAGTTGAATTTGATGAAATGAACTCAGAAAATACGAGTTGAATTTGAAATTTTAGTTTACGGTATTAGCTGAAAAATTTTTGCTTTATGACATGAACTTAGTTTATGGTTTTCAGATTGTGTGATTTGTTCTAATCAATCCTTGCTTCTTTGTAAAAGAAACCCTATAGATACTTTTCTTGGATTGATCCGGAGCTTGGACCATTTCAGAAATCATGTTTTCTGAAACTGAAGGTTGATAAGACATTGTTGGAAGAGCAATTAAAATGCCAAGAAGTCACTGTAGTAGCAATGGCTGAGAGGCTCTCTGTAATGCCCCGTTTGATTATAGAATATTTGGGAATTTATTATTATTATTATTATTATTATTATTACTATTATTATTATTATTATTATTATTATTATAATGATTATTATTATTACCTTTATTTGTTGTTATTATTATTGAATACTAAATATTATTAAATGCCTAAAATGATTTATCTGTCAATTTGCGATTAAAATATCTAATTGTCTAAATGATATTTATTATTTAATATTATGTGTGTATTTGTATTATTAATAATATTATTATTTTATAATTATGTGTATTATAAATATAAATAATATCTGTTTTATTTTTATCGTCAATCATATCGATCGGGAACTCTCGTTGTCGCGTTATATTTCGTTCGGCCGATTAAATTGGTTCCGACCCAATTTATATGATATATCTAACCCAAGAGTACCTAAGAGTTGCTAAATTGTCGGCCCAAACTAATAATAAGCAACCCATTTTCGGCCCATTTTTAATTGCCACCAAATCCCACTTTCAGTCTCTCTCATTTTGAGCAGAGAAGAACGAGTCGCAACTAACTTGAACTTCCCCTCTTTTCTCGGCCATCAATCCGCCACCAGCAGCGACCACGACGCCCGACCTGCTTGAAATCCGGCGAGCTCACCCACATATCTCTCTTCCCTTCAAGCCCTATTTTTCCACCTATTTAAGGAACCCTCCAATTAGCCGCCACTCTCATTTTCTCCTTCAGTAAAAAGTTCACAGAGAATTCGCAGAGATGGCCCAATTGTACCAGCCATCCCTCACGGCAGAGCTTCGTTTTTTTTCGACAGCAAGGGCACCATGTTCCGGCGAGTCGATCACCACCAGCCCGACTACGAGCAGAACCAGCGAATTCGAGAGCCAGCCATTTCTGGCTACGAGGAGTCCGTGCGCGCCGACGACCTCCGAGACCTTTGAGCTCTGACCTCCGATCTCTAGACGGACAACTAACTTCTATCTCGAGCCGCGATTCCCCGAGCTCCTCCGCGACCTGAGTCCAATTTCCCGGCGAGAGCAGCCGAATCGGCCCAACGACGAGATTCCCGGCGACGCGAGGTAGTCGAACCGAGAACGAGCAGCAGCGGCACCCCGTCGGCCTTCTTCTAGGGCCCGAATAGCATCGGCAGCCCTTTCGGGTCTCGTGTGAGAATAGCGGCAGCCGTTCGAAGCTTTATCGGGCAACTGGAGACCTCGAATCAGCGGCAAGCCGGCTCCTTTTCAACGAACAGAAACGGCCCCTTCCGACGGGTTTCGTGGTCGACTCCAGGCAGCCATCTCCCCGTCGGCTTCTTTTCCGAGCACTGCCGACGCTGGGAGATCCTCCTCCCCCTCTCGTACAAATTCCAGCGACCTCCCTCGTGCAGCCCGTGAACGTGAACAGCCCAACGAAGAACGAATAGCCGCAGCCGAGAAACAGCGGCGTTCATGTGCGTGCAGCTGAGGCGAGTGAGGTCAATGTCTGGGAGCTTTGTGCTGAAATCCGATCCCAACGTCTTCGTGCTTATGGATTTGAAGAGTGGTAATCTCGAATTCCTTTTCCTCTTCGGGTGTTTAGATTCTTGATGTGAATTGTTGGGCAAAGATGCTTGAATGAGTTGGTGTTTGCCTTGGATTATTTGTTTTTGTGTTGGGCTGAGAGCATGCTAATATCTATGTTGCATGTATGTTAAATGTTTTGAGCAGAAACATGTACCGAGGTACTAATCTTCAGCCTTGGATTTCATGTGCTTGATTGGTTAAGGCTAGAGAAAAAGGGACTTGTGTATTGTTATGTTTTAGCTTTGTTTGGTGTAGTTGTAGTTTGAGCCTTGCTATGTGCTCTTATTTTTTTCCTAGTGTGGCTAAGCCATTTGAATGCCATTTATGTGCTTTAAGTTCAGATTTAGTTGCAGTTATTTAAAGCCTTCTTGAACTTTAGATTTGTTGAGAAAGAAAATGCATATATATTGAGTTAAGCCTGTTGATGTCCAGTTTTGGTTCAATTTCACTGAAGCTCCTGAATGCATTTTATGCCATGTTCATACTTGTTATTATGAGTGCTTAAGGTGCTAATTGCTTCCATGAAATTGAGTTTTAAGTATGATAAGAGTTTCTAGATTTTGCTAGCCAAAGAAGCTTCAATGTGTTGATCTTTTTAACTTGATTTTATCTATCTATTTGCTTTATTTTATTATTCGATCCCTTCTGTTTTAATATTTAATGGACTGATTGAGCGGAACCAAAGCCTTATATTAATCATTTAGAAACATGTTATACTTCATAGCATAATACGATGGTAGGTATACATGATGTTGACCTTCAGTATACAAAATATTGAAATCTTTCTTTTTAGACTTTCTACATTATCATTGTCATGTATCATATGTGTGAATGGGGATTCCATAAAATATTTTTCCAAGGAAATTAACTTACGATTGGTGCCACATT